TATCCAAGTGGGAGTCTGTTGGATAAGGTGTCTAAGTCCATAACGACCGCATGGTCCATTTGGGTTGCATCTCATCCAAACTATTATGGATAATTTATGAGAGTTATACACATATGTTTATTAATATATTATGAGTTATAATATATTAATATGAAGTTACGTTATTTAATTATTTTAGTCTTAAATTAATTATGAATTAATTTAGAGATTAAAAGGACTAATTAGATTATGGGCTATTTGTTTTATATAGTGTGGGCTAATACTCATTTGTTAATGGGCTAGGCTTATGTGGAAGTCCATGGATGATCCATGGAGCTTTTAACCCATGGATCCTTGGAAAGGAAAAGACATCGGTTATTAGGGTTTCACCCTAACCATGCACACTATATAAGCATGCTTATGGAGCATGAAATGGAGCCTAAGAGAAAAACTAGTGAACTAGTGTGTGTGTGCATGTGTGTGGCCGATTTTATACAAGGGTGTATACTCTCTCAAAGTTTTCCAAGAGTTTGTGGTGTTTGTGATTCCATTTGAGGCATTCACACTATTGGTGCTTGGCCCTCAAACTCCTTAGAACCAAACTCACCAAAAGGTATGTAATCTCTTCTAACTCTTTTATGTTGAAATGTTCCCCATGCCATGTTAGATAGGTTATAAACCTTGGAAAATTATTATTTTGCATGTATTTAGACAAACATAGATCCAAGGTTTATTAGGGTTGCATGCACACTTAGGAAGTGTTAGATTGCTCAAAACCCAACAGTACAATCCCTACTAAGATGACCAGTCCAACCGCACTTGAAGTAGCCCGAATCTCCACCACTACCACTCCTACACGCACCATAGTGCATCCTGCCGTACCTCCCGTATCGGCTGCGGCTCTGGTAATCCCTCGATCTCGACTCTGACCCATTGGGCCTTTTTCCCGAACCTGTGGCTACCTGAACCTCATCCGGCTTCGTCTTCTGGATCTACTCCAAATCAATCTCCCTCTCTGTAGCTCGAGAAATCATATCTTCCAGTGTCTTACAGCCGGACCTGCTCACGAACTCCCTGATGTCAGCCCTCAACATCTCGTGATATCAGGCCTTCTTCATCTCCTCGTCCGCGATGTACTGGGGAACAAGGAGGTCCCTCTCCCTGAAGTTGGTGGTGATGTATGCCACAATCTCAGTAGTTTGCGTCAAATCCTGAAACTCCCATGCCAACTGCTGTACCTCAATAATCGGTGAAAACTCAACCCTAAACCTAGCCGAGAAATCGCTCCATGTCATCGCGTACAACGTGACATCATCACCAATGGCATGACCAACCTCCTCCCACCAATCCCTCACTCTGTCCTTCAGAAGACAGGAGGCAAGTCTAACCTTGTTCCCCTCGGGACACCGGCTCGTACGGAATGCATTGTCAACATCGGCCAACCACCTGCTGCTAGTGATGGGATGCCTAGCCCCATGATAATATGGTGCTCCGAAAGCTTTAAACTCTCAGAATGTCATAGTACGCGCTCCCATCAAAGCCATTATCTCAGTACGAAAGGCTCTAAGCCTCTCATCCAAGATCTCCAGTATACCCGCCTTGATCGTGCCAAAGATCACAGGAGTCTGATCTAGGATACTGCGCGTAACCTCAGCTAATATCAACTCCTTCATCTGCTCCTTGAGCTGCTCAGCCCCTGCACCCGAGCCTGATCCCTCTCCGGTGCCTGATACGCCTACTGGTCTCTTCGCAATGTCACCATGTTGAAACATATCGCAATAACTATCAGAATACTCATCACTTACGCACACACTACAAGTTTCCCAGTCTCATCTCGGCCTTTCTCGAATCGAGTACGGATCCTCTGCTTCCAGTAGTACAAGCCCATAGTACCTTCCACATCTATCGGTACTTTACTCAAGAACTGCTTCGACTCCACCAGGTCCCTTTTCCACTACTACTGCTCCAAGCACTATCTCATCCTAGGCTTACCCTAGGGAAACCTCTTACTCAACTCAAACCAGTCCTCAGCTACTGAAGGCCTCCTTGTGATGAAAATTAGCCATCACCTGAATACCATCACATGTGACGAGGCTCAGATAATCCTTTGAGTAGAAGACTCGTCCCTACAGTGGTTGGACTCAGACTAGAGTTGCGCAATAGGGCCAAATCCAGCACTCTTAGATTATTCAACCCTGATCACATGTGACGTGACGTATTCACCTAATGGCTAACTCCCATCACTCAGAATCCCACAATGCACAAAGCAAGCAGCATTCGGACAAGGGAAAAAAATCTAACCATAACATACTCAACAATCATAATCTCATATCCAGAATCTGCACTAGCATGCGACATAAGCTCATAAACTCAGGCATAACCTAATAGGCTATCCTACTACTATCTAATCAGTACTGTCATGCAGCTCAAAGCACATATAACAGGCACATAAGGCATCCTCCCTATATCCTTAGTCCTAGTCTAGCATGCTGCTCTACTAACTGATAAACATAACATAAACTTGTATGGGTATTTTTGGGGTACTTACTTGAGCTCGGCTGAATGCATGCACCACACCCTTTTCTCTTATCAAAGTTCCTTTTCTTTCTGAATTCTTTTCGCTTTTCTAAAACTGTTTCCTTTGTAAAAACTCTTTTTTCAAAATTGTCTTTTCATTTTGAATACTTTTAGACCAATCCCTTAGTTTGAGTTCAAACACACCCAAGAGTATGTTCGAATCCCTCAATCCAAGGCTTTGACACCAACTTGTAACATCCCAAAAATCCGTACCAAATTTTTTTCTTTAAATCATTACTAAAACCATTTTTATAAAAACATATCATAATGCATAAAATAATTCAGAGTATTAATTCCAAAACCTAATTTCATTATTAGAGTAAAACATCCCAGGCTGACTAATCAATGGTGTGTGCCATGCGATCACCCCGAGCTCTTCCCTCCGCTACCAGAAGTACCTGAAACCAAAACTGAAAATCATAAGAACGAAGCTTAGTGAGTTCCCCAACCTACCACATACCCTGCACAAACACATACAGCATATACTGGGCCACGCCCGCTATTTCGAGCCTCGCCCCCTACCTCGGGCCCCGCCCGCTACAACGACCTTGCCGCTCGATGCCCCGCCTGGCTTCAAGCCCCGATCGGATACATATCTATTTCTTTTAGGCCCCGCCCGATAACCATATATAGTACAAAATTGCATATAACACATAACTGAACATAACCTACTGCATTCGTGTCCTTAGGCCTCGCCTGTCTTGGGCCCCGCCCCTATCCTATCACTAGTGAGTCCCCATCCAAGCTCCTCCGGGAAGTGAGATACGGGCCCACGTCCACACTCACTCCATGCCTATCTCGGGCCTCGCCTATGCTCTGCTACTAATGAGATATAGAACACCATCCATACTCTGTTATTGGTGAGATACGGGACCTCGCCCACACTCACCTTCCTACCAGGCACATACATGCATCACACAGACAACAAGTATACTCTATCATGCAAACCATTCCTTGGGCACCCGCCCGACATCGGACCTTGGTCTGGAATATCATACTAACAAACCGTACCTAGGGCTAACCCTCGGGTCTTCCTACTCATAACTACATGGGTTGGCTTTGTGGCCGTAGACCCATTCACACAAAGGGAAACTCACCTTCACTGCTGAATTTGCTGATAACCCTCTTGTTGCTGACCAACAATTCTCTTAACCGCTGCTCCACTAGCTCCCTGAGCTACCAATATCAATACATATATCAATTAGTTCCAACTGAACTCTAGAAGCCAAACTAAGTCAACTCTGGTTAAAGTCAATCTTTCTAGCTGACTCTACTCGCTGAGTCAGTCCTTTTACTCATCGAGTACATATACTCAGAACTCTCATAATGCGACCCAACTCTCCGAGTCACCCCAAGACTCGTTGATTTCAACGATCTCTAAGTCCCATCCTATCCAACTCATTAAGTCACCATTCAACTCAATGATTTGAGCCTTAACCAAAAGGGGTTAGTGCTTTGTGACCTGACTCGCCAAGTCCAAGAACAGACTCGCCGAGTCCATGACAATCTTCAACAGACTCGCCAAGTTGTTCTTCTAACTCGTCGAGTCCATGCCCATCTTCATCCAACTCGCCGAGTCCACCCATGTGACTTGCCGAGTCACTTCAGTTCTTAATCCATATAATGGCTTTTCGAGCCATGTAGGGGCTCCAACTCATAGATCCACTCTTCCCAAGTCTATTCCTCATGTAAAGTTGCAAACTTTATGTGAAACTAAAGATATATGGGCTTAAAACACTCTAGGGCTAGGGTTTGGGGAAAACATGCTTAACCAACACACTAAAAACTGATACTTTATGGATCTATGGGCCAAGGCACACCTAGATCTGAAGTAGCAACCTTAGATCTGGACTTCTAACTGAAAAAGGCTCCTTATCATACCAAAATGGCCTCAAAACACCATCCATGAGAAGATCTAGAAGCAAAAAAGGCAAAGTGACAGATTGCTACCTTCAAACTGATGCTCACAACAAAAGGGTTCGATCCTGCAGCTCTTTAGTGGTCAAATCCTCCAAACCTTCCTCTTGCAAAAGCCCCAAACCCACTTCCTTCCTTCTCTCACTCAACTAGGGTTTGGAATCGTGTATATTAGCTTCTGGCCGACAAGGAGGGCTACAGAGAGGACTTAAGGTCCTTTAAATAGGGTGCAAACCCTCGGATTAGGGCTTTCCTCGATCAGACCAGACTCGTCGAGTCTACTTTCCGACTCGTCGAGTCGGTCACTTATTCCATAACCCGAATGCCACTCCGACTCGTCGAGTTCACCTATGGACTCGACAAGCTGACCCCTTGACTTAGGGTTTTCCTTTCCTTTCTTACTCTTTCTGATTATGGGTACTACATTATGGTCTGAGTTTACGGTCGTAACGGAATTTACGGTGTTGTGTACGGTTGTTAAAGATGCTCCTTTAGGGCCTTAGAACCAAGCTTACGGTTCAAGAACAATGAAGAAGTTTGTAGCCGTAATCACAGTTTACGGTCGTAAGCTTGGGCCATGAACTACCAGAAGTTCGAGAAAACCTTGATTTCTGAATTGATCTTAAAACCTTTTTGCAGTAGAAACCAATTTGAATCGTAAACAATCGAAAACTTGATTGTATTTCGCTTTGACACCAGTTCTGCTCTGATACCAATTGTAAGTCCCTAATCTGCGTGTGTATCAATCAGATCCGTTTGATGGTGGGAAATCTCAATCAAATGGATCATGTCAGATCAAATAGAAGCGAAGGAGAAGAAGTATAATATGAATCTTGTATGTATTGATATGAATGAAGATCCAAATACAAGAGATTTACACACACTAACACAAACTCTTCTCTGTAGACCGTGCACTCCTTTTTCTGTTCATCAATCTCTACTCCTCACCCCTAACACCTATATATATACAAGGGGAACATGGGCCGAAATGGGTTTACGGCCGTAAACACTGACCGTAAACACCCCACGTGGATGTAAACTAGATTGTAAGCTCATAAAATATTACATAAAAATATTATTGCCCAGAAAAGCAAAGTATAAACCATATTTTGACCCAACATTGAAGACGAAGAAAGAGCGATATGTTGGTACAGCGAAAAAGAAGTTTTGCCAAATGTCGAAGGAGTAACCGTTGGTACACAAGAGTATTGGGCGAATAGAATAAAAGTACACAATCGCGACATTCATCATGCACTTTGTGCTGATTTGGTGGAACACGTTTATAGGACTCATATTCAACCTCCGATAGAGTTTTCTCATGATGACTTGTTTGACGAATCAGACGAGGATTCTTATATGTTCGTCGAGAGCGAAGATTCCGATGACAAGAGTGATGCTCAAGAGAATAATGAGGACGATGAGGTCGATGATGAGGATGATGATTCCGAGTGACGTATTTTGGTTTTTTTAATTAGAATATTAATTATGTTTTCTATGTTGTGGGTTGTTTGATTTTTTGTTTGCGATGTTTTTTAATTTTCTACTTACTTAAATATTAGGTTTAATGTAATTTTTATTAATATATATATATATATATATATATATATATATATATATATATATATATATATTAAAAATCTCCTAAGTTAACAACAGTAAACTCGCAGCTATTTTGTCTATTTCGCCACAATAGTTTGTCCGATTTGCATTCTCCTCCCTCTGAATCTCTGATCCCTTATTATTACGAATTCTTTTACATTTTTAATCTGTTTACTTCCATCACTAACAGATATTGAGATGCTTCTCGAACCTATTGATAAGCACCCCACTGATTTTTCTCCACTGCCTTATCTCATGTATTTTTTTTTTCTCACTGCCTCCATCAGATGCTCATACGCTCTCCAACGGTTATCCTCCTACCTACGTGTTATTTCTTTCACCAGTCCAGACCTCTGACCACTACCGTGCTACCTATCCCTTTCTCGACTTCGATCAGAAGCAACCGCCCATTCACCCTCGATGAATAGTAAATGGTTTGGACCCACGTCATCACCGGTTTAGCTTTCGGCTCCAATACTGCCTGTTTAGAGCCAAAGTTTCTTGAGACTCACTGCATTCATCCTCCAATAGAATCGTTCTCATGCGGCTCTATATCTCACTGCCTTACACTTATCTCTATATTTCTCTATTGCTCCTAATTCTATGCTACGCTTATGTTTTCAGGTACATCACTTTTCAAATTATGATTTAGGTTTCTTCCGATTTTGGGATTTCCACGATAGTTATGAGTTGGTTAAAATTGTTTACATGTATGTGGTTTTACTAGGTTTCTAATTTTCTACAGAGGCAATTTTAGACAACGATTATGTCAAATTTCATCATATAGTGGTGGTTATGGAACATTTATGTATACCTCGATGACCCGACCTACTTCTTCGCCCTCACGGTCCCCAACGCTACAGCTTTGGTCAATTTTGATTTCATTTGGTTTGATACCAAACCGATACTATGTTTCTTGATTTGAAACAAATTTTTTTTGTTATTTTTGTGTTTTAGGTTCTAAATTTTGTCCATGGTCGATAGATAATCTTTCTGTAAACCTTTCTTATGGTATTGTTCATGTGAATAACATAAGTGAAAGTAAGATGCTTAGGGTCCTTCAAGCACATTTTTTGTTTTTACAATTTCCCTTTTGACCTAAAAGAAATGCTTACTGAGATTATGTAATTTACAAGGAATAACATTATCCCCTCGAAATCAGCTCAATGTTGGTTTGGTAATGCTCTTTGAAACAAGGTTGTAACTGTTATTTGGTGACCTGGTGAAACTTTACTTACTGTGATTGTATCTATGGCAAATGGATCCCTTACAAATGTCCTAATAAACAAAGAGAGGTAAATCCTATCAAAAAATTATTTAAATCCTTTTATTTATTAATTAAGAGGTAGAAAATAGAAAATTAAAGGTTGAACGAATTCACACTCTAGATTAGAACAATAGATTATGTATATAGGCACACAGTTTGATTGTTTTGACATTTGTTTATGCAGACATTCTTGTGTCATGAGAAGATTAAGAGGCAAATTGATGATATCCAAACAAGGAAAGCCTTCGTTTTTTTTTAGTTTTTGTTTATTGCTTTTACTAGACACAATTTGTTGCCATGTCATCTCATCTATATCCTATTCCACAAATTTTGATAATTGGCACTTGACCAATTTTTGAGAAGTCATAAATTAAATTGAATTTGGATTTCCAAATTTAGACTTAATAGACAATATGTTAGAGAAATCTGAAAAACATTATGAGAAATGGTATTAGTTTTTGAAACAGGTTGGAGGTTAGATGATTTCTATGACCTTTGACTCTTTTTTAAGCGTGTTGACTTGTACAATTTCTTAAGATATGCAATCAGGTGATGTTAATATGTAATTACATATATAACAATTGAGTGGAGCTTTCCAAAATACATCCCTATAATAATTAGATTTAGTTGCAGAAAAACTTATCATTTTTTTTCCTGGTGTATGTTTTTTAAGAGGATTCAAGAAAGAAGAAACTTGAAAGCAAAATTCTAAAAGATTTTCATTCATACAAGTTTGGTTTCAAGTTTAGCTAATTAGCTACATGTAAGGGCATATTGGTATAGAAAGTCAACCTACTAAAGTATCTAATCTGATGACATAAGAAACTTTTTGCAGCATTCTTTCAAGTGATTTTATTTCGCCAATATGAATAACATGTTAAGCTTTTAAATATTTGAAAACATTCATTTATTATGCCAACATGGTTCCCACCCATTCATTGGGTTTAGGTGAGGGAAATGAAAGTGATGGAAATTTTATTATTACCCATAAAAAGTGAAGGAAACTTTCCACCCATACCCTCTGATCTAATAAAAAAAATCTAGTATCTTTATCTTATTTAGTTAATTAAAAAATTAAAAAGCAAATTATTTTGATGATACGATGTAACTAAAATATGGTGTTATTGTTGTAATGAGGTGGAAGAAAAGATTTTTTTTAAAGCCTTTTCCCAACTCACACCCTTTCCTTTATTTCCTTTCTCTTTTCTTAAAAGAGAAAATTCATAAACATCTATTTCTCATTTTCTTTCTTTCCCCTCTTATGAAAAAACTTAAGATCATTCATTTTATCTTCTTTCCTCCCTTAACAAAACTCAAAACATAATGTAAATGACAAAGAAAAATTATTAGGAACTTAAAACAAATTAAATCCGTAACTTTCCTTAAATTGTGCATTTTACGCTTACTTCATTTCATTTGTTGATACTTTCGCGTTTTTGGAGAATAATAACTTGCAAAAATCTACAACTTTTCCCATTCCCCATGGGAATTTTCCGAATTTCTAAAAAGAGAAGACAACTTTAAGAAAACAATTCTTCATGCGCCGGTCATGAACTGGCTTCACATGTACGTTTCAAATATATTACTATTTTTATTTTTTAATGGTATATACGATATAATTAGAGGATAAAAACAAACTTAATTATCGCCATAATAATTTATATGAAATATTATAAGATGATAAAGCGCTAAATCGAAAGAAGAAAAATTAATATACGAAAGAATCCATAATGAAGTTAATGAATTGAATAAGATAATACAAACAAATTTACTCAAAAAAAAAAAAAAGATGTAATGTTTTCTATAAATTATTTATATGATTTTAAGTTTTATAATATTTATAATACAAAATCAATAAACAGGATGTGGGGTCGGTCACTGGCGAGTCCTCTGCAAAACTGGACCAATCATTCTAAGCTCAAATCTCTTTACATTTCCGGCCGCCTCCCTCATGGTGGTGTCCACCACGTACGGCGTTCCCTCCACATTCAGATTGGTGGTATTCACCAGCTGCCGACATGGTTCTCGCCTCTCCGATATTGTCCCATGGTAATGGTAGTACATGATCTTCCCCTCTGTCTTGTGTGTCGATTTCCCCATTATATTTTGTGACATATGTACACCTGTCGCAAATACATTCCGAGGCTGAATTACATATTTTCTGTCTCTCCTTATCCCTCTCTTTATATCCCTGTACACCAACTTCTCCATCCCCCATTTCCTGTAACAATTGTAAAAAAACAATCATCAGTTACCAATGTTTTTTATACCAATAAATAACACGCAAGTAATTGTATGAGTAGATTACTAGCTGGTTTTATGGTTTTATAACGAAATGATATAGATACAATAATAGATATCAATTCGTACTCGTAGCTGGTTTGTATGTACGTTTTCCAAAGAAAAAAAAAAATAAAAAACACTTGTTTATAACATAAGAAACCACCACCGACTATGGGCGCATTTGGGACCCATTGGGAACGTTGTTTAACGAACACCACATGAAGAAATGCGCATAAATCCAAAAGAACACACCAACCATTCCAATGATGCAACATTCACATTTTTGCATGTTATGTTACCTAACTTTTAATCACTGATATATCACCCAAAATATTACGTACGTTCTATTTTTGTTTCCACTTTTGGCTTTTCTTCTCTTTTTACTCATTATAAATCCCTTATCGGATAGAAGATCTAACATAGTACTCTAAAAAGGCTTGGATACAAGAAAATATACATTCCTTTAATTTCTTTCTAGTATATGAAAGAAAATCTAGCTAATTAATTACCTCCAAATACAAAACAAATATCATATTATAATTAGTTAGAATTTTCCAAGTAATATATTATAATTAGAAAAAAAAAATCAAAATACAATACTATAAACATGATAAAAGAAATAAATGAAAATAACATGTTTTGCAATTCTCATTTACCCCTTATAATATCCCTAATTTGAGGAGGAAGAAATAGTAGTTGGCATACCAATAATGCAAGATTCGATGCTGTATGGCAACAAAGCTTTTAGATCTCAAATTATGTGAATGTGAAATCGAATAATTGATTAATAAATTACCTACCTGAGTTGTCTAACAAGGGTCAAGTATCAATCTATGTTCCTATAGGTGATAAATCGAACCAGATTCTATACTAATAAACATCTAAACCCATATGGAAAGTTACTAAAATTTACGAAATCAAAAAAATTACGGGTAACAGTGAAAAAAGTTTAATCTAAAAGATCAAAAACAATATGATCGTACCTGTAAATTTTTCCAGCGGTATCATCCAGGTAGCAGAGCTTGTTAGACATGGTTCTTTGTTCAATGGTGAACTGGGTAAACTGCGACATAGAATCTGTAACTGTTTTAATGGTGCCCTTCTTGGGAACAAAGAGGAATTCATCGACGTCAAAGAAGAACATCCATTTCGTCATGAAACGATATCTATGCAGGCAATCATTAACGATTAGAAACTGATTATGATAATACCCATCAAATCTTTCCTCCTCCTTTATGTCCTGCAACGTCACGTAACCCTTTTCGATCCATGGCTTTAAAACATCCATTACCTCCGGATGAAC